ACAGGTTAGTTACACTTCAGGAGTTCATCTATAAAAGATCAGCTGAATTTGCCCAGACTGCCGCACCATGTACCTCAGTGAGGAAGTAGCAGAGGATCTTGTCATTGCAGAGGACTGGATGAGAAGCCACACGAAGAAGAAAGTTCTCGAGTCCAACCCTGCGTCGCTCCACAAAGTCAGGGTCCATGTTGTCTGCAGACAGCTTGTGCCACACAAACTCTGCCTGTATACATGAAGACCAACCATTTTCACTCGACCTATTCACACACGCATTTGTTTTTGACACTAGGCTTCTGCTTACATATATAAAGAAACCCTGCTTATCTAAAAGATCACTCCATTCAAGTTGTAGCTCAGGCGGTAGAGCAGGTCACCTACTGATCCAAAGGTTCAATCCCTGCTCCTCCAGTCTTGGGCAAGATACTAACCAAGTTGCTCTCTGATGCATCCATCAGAGTGTGAATGTGGTTAAACCGCACTCAGTTTAGAGTCAGTGCTTGTGAGAATGGGTGTGACTGGGTGAATGTGGCATGTTGTATACAGCGCTTTGAGTACTCTGGGACAGTAGAAAATGGCTGTATAAGAATCAGTGCATTTACCATTCCATCCAAGTCAAGCACGTTAGCATTAGTTAACATTAACAAGCAAGAATGAAATATTCTGGTGAGACATGCTTCATTAAATAAATTAGCACTAGCTACATCTAACTAATGCAGCTAGTGCTAATTTCATTGCTAATTCAGTAGCAGTTAGCTAGCTACTCTTAGCTTGTTTGACTGCTAACGTTATCGCTAGAAAAATCCTCTTTGATGCCACGTCACTGTTTGCTTTTCTGTCCTACTGTGGAATCTGCTTTGGAGTGTGGGTTGTGCTATTAAGTGGATGCTAGTCATTAGTGACATTAGTGATTAATGAGCAGGGCCAAGGCGGTCTGGAGGAAACATCACATGCTTCACAAAGAAATTACTCTACAACTTAATGTTGCATTTTGACCCATTTTAAAATTCAGCAATAAAAAGATTAATACATGACAAATCATTATATGTCAGTGTTATGATGGTATTAATCATGTGTCATGCATTGTATGAGTAATGACAAAGATTTTCAGCTCAATATTGACTAGGCCTTCAATTGCCAGAGTTAACTGGAAGTGCTTACACTTGTGTTGTCATATTAGATGATATATTTCTTAAAAGACACTTAACAAAGTCACACTGGACTCACCCTCTTCTCAGGCAGAGGAGGTACCACAATGTACGGATAGGTAACTATCAGGTAGTTCCGCAGCAGTTCAAACTCACTGTACCTCCTCCACAGGCAGTCGGGGGCTGGGTTATGGCCTTCAGCGACTGCATCCATTGGCCTTTAAAGAATGGACCACAGTAGAATTTTGTTCTGTTTTTGCTGAGCCAATAGATGCAATTCATGCAACATCACAAGAGGAAATACAGATAAAATATATACAGTGTGAAAACCTCACAGCTTAACCCACAGAACTTCCTTTCATACCAAAGAGGCTAACAGCATGCTGTGCTCACCTTGTTTCGATCAGGTACACAGTGAACGTCTCCTGCATGCTCACTGCATTTTTGCCGCTCCTCTTCTCGGCCTCAGCTATGCAGATCTCCATCCTGCGCATGAGGGTCGAGCCCTCTTCCACCATCTGAGTCGACACAACAAAAGAACACATGATTTGGCCCTAACACTTAAACCAAGAAACACAGAAGTCAGTGAGAAAAGCTGAGGTAACATTAGTCAGCGAAACAACAAAGCCTCAGACGGGTATGGTGTTTTATCCTTCAACACTTGATGTTCTTTACAATGACAAATATGAATGAGTTGATACCACTAAAATCTTTTGGTGTAAATTTAATTACGAAGAGTTGGTAGGAGCAGGAACCAAAAGCAAAGAGGAAGTGAGAGCTGGAGTTTTATTTTTTACACAGATATTGTCACATGTTCTGAATATGCATGACGTGCACCCCACCTATGCCAGCTGGGTTATGCTCCAGCCCTGAATTGGACAATTAATGAAGAAAATGGATGGATGACGGAGTGTATCCCTGACACAGGTAGACAAATTGATTCCATTAAGTTCCTTAAATGAAAGACAAAAACGTTTTAAACAGACTCCGTGACTCTCACATAGTAATTCGTGTTTGTTGACTCGTAGGGTGAACAACTACTCTGACTGCGCTGCATCCCAGGAACATGCACAACTCCAACCTTGTGTTTTCCTTCAGCTGTCTCTAAAACATGCGCAGCTCGATCATCCATCAGCTCCATGCTCCTCCCTACGCTAACAGCTGTTTATATGACGCACGCGATCCGCTTTTATAGCCAAATTAACATGGTAATATCCGCAAAATGAGTTAAACGCAAAAACATTACTGAGCCCAGTGATATGCTGACGTGTATGGTCCTGCATGTGCTAGACTGTATGTAAGGAGCCTCTGCCCTGAGCTTTAGGTCAACGCTAAATGCCATGTAGCGTTAAATAACGCGCAATGACAAATAAAAACGAAACAAATGAGCAGGTCAACCGGGATAAAGAGAAGCTACGGTCTCACAGTGTTGTTCAAGCTGCCATCCGCTCCCGTTTGGTCTGAATCATCGTCAGTCCCCAGCGACTCTTCCCTTCCATCATCCGCCATCACCTTTCTCTCCGTGATGTTGATGTTGATCACGGCGCATGCGCAACACGTCCCTTCATCCTCGAACTCCCCCGTCCCGTGGTCGTTAGAGCCGTGCCAAGCAAAACGGGTATTTTCTGAGATTACACAGTCACATATTGATGGAAATACGAAATGTGTGTTTAGTCAGCGAATCGCGATTTTAAGGAAACACCAAGCTACAAGCTAGTTTTCATCTACATGAGTGGTGCTCAGGGAGAAGCAGGGGTGTGTCTGGAGTGAGAACTAGGGTGCCACTGACCCCTCCCACCATCACCACCAAACCTTAAATTAACACTTTGCAAAAGTGTTCTTGGGCCCTTTATGCCACTCCATTTCAAAAGTCCTGTAAACAGCCCTGGATACCTCCTGGATGTTTAGTAACATTAACAAAACTACTGACACAGCAGGGAAAATCAGCTGTGATACAATACTGACTCTGGAAACAAATGAATGATTTACATGGGAAGGGGTATATAATTTGAGGAAAATGTGGAATCATTACTCAATGAATCAACTGGTTGGGAGTCTGAAGTTTGATTTAATGAATAGTGGAGGTTCTACATTCCATTTTTATCATATAAGGGTGAAATCTTCTGACAAGAATTCGTGGAGACTGCGTGGTCCTGAGAACTGAGACTTGGTGGACTCCTGGACTTATCCAGGGAGTTCCAAAAGGTTGATTCTGTTCATCTGGACGTAGTGTTTTCAGTGGGAAAAACATTGACTGAAGTATACACTTGGATGATTGACCAAACGTTTCTCCCACTGAAAACATCCAGATGAACAGAATCAACCTTTCTGGATTCACCTGGATGATTGAGCATGCATCAAGATATCCAGGGAGTTGCCTTATTACAAACTATTCCTTCCTGTATGTGTAACAGCTGACATGTAAGTAAACATTTCTGTCAGATCTTTAGTTGTTTGCGTGTTAATAAACATACTATCATTTTGCATGAATTCATGCATCACTCTGGGGTTGTCTGCAGTGCATGAAACTGAATTATAATTATTCATTGGGGCTACTAACTCACATGCAGATAGGAATCCAATGCAATGTATTTTATAGTAGCCTAAGAATTGAATCCGTGTCTGCACATGGTAATCAACTGGCTGTCAAATAAAACAAAGAAGTTACAGTCCAACAATAGTTTTCCATTTTCACACGTGCTCTAAATAAAGCATTTGATTGGCTTAGTAGGGCCACGTGGGAGGAGTTGCAAGGCAAGAGGTCTGTGTGTTTCCTGTGTACATACATTTATGGTAAAGGAAAAGGCTGCACAGATTAAAATTTTTATTGTTTCCATTAGAGTCAGAAATTAATCAGATTTGCTTTAGCGCATGTCATGTCACAAAGGGGAGAGCAGGTGTTTTCATGCTCTGCATGAACAATGAGGAGGTTTGTTTCAAAACTATATCAGCCATCCAGTCAAAATCACTGCACTTGTGCAGGAACTCTCCGTGTTTGACTTTATATATAGAACGTGCATATTTTTGTTGTTTTGTGATCATATTTTAGTCACACTTGCAGGTGTCTGCTCTACCATACACACTTGAATTATGGACTGCTCCTGAGATTGTAATCCTTCTGGGACTTTCTCCCGTTGTTGCGGATGACTTCTGAAGTTCTCTTGTGTCAGGATGAATCTTTGTGTTTCACAGCCTCATGTGCAAATGTGGCTGAGACCACATGTGGCTTTATGTTGTTTAAAGTGCTTTGAGTACTCCAGGAGAGTAGAAAAGTGCCATATAAGAATCAGTCCATTTACCATTTACAGCAATGGAATCAATTGTTTAATCTTGAAATATCACAGTGCCTTAACACAAATTACATTTGCGGGAAACAAAACATATTTCAAGGTCTGACCATGTAAATACCAGCAAATCTCTGGGAAATAGCACATTGAGTTGATATTTTATACTTAAAAGAAGGGAATTAAAACAAGCCTGTCTTCAAAGGTCATTGCACTGTTATCTTTTAATAATATAACAAATAAAAATTGTGACTGTGACATGTGCAAAAGTTTGGTCACTTTACAGAGGAAGAAGCGCAATAACCACATCTGATGGCGGTTATTGAGCTTCAGTGTTGGAACCATTAGCAAAGGTCTGCCGCTGGCTTTATGGCTCAAAATGATTTGAAAGTGAATAACATGACTTGTGCTGTTTGGTAGATACATCTCAATATTTAACATTACTTTTCCATTTCAAGTCAGTCACCCTGAAAGTTATACTTACAGTGAGCTGCAACTTAGATATAAAAGCCATTATTGTTTGGCGGGCTTCAGGCAGCCGACTGTTACTTATTTAACACTGAATTATATGTTACGGGAGAGTTATTATCGCCTACAGAAGACAGTTTAATGGCATGTCTGAATACTGTGCCTGTGCAATGTCTAAAGTGTTAAAAGTTTGTAAAGTTTTGTGGTGTACTGGACCATGTCTTCATCCATGCTAAAACTGTGCGTTTGTCCTATAAAAATGGAACGTATTGGCTCCAGCATGGTACTGTGTCGGTGCTACAGAGCTGCTATAGTTTAAAAACATACATGTACTGTTTAATAACTGGAACATGGGCCACTCTTGTTTGTGGTTCTGTTGGTCCTTTTGCTGGAATTACAGAGTTCATAGTGCACAAAGAAATTCTTTGTACTGCAGATTAAGGCTGTGGTCATTCCCTTTTCAGTTTACGCTTCCTTTCAGCCAATCAGCATTCAGCCTATGCACTGCATTATTGGCCAGAAGCAATGGGCTGATGTGACTTGTACTACTGATTGCATTCCCCTTTGCCTAGCTGGCCCAGGACCAGAACCAGCCTTTAACCTGAAAATGTCAGCTTCAGTGCATTTTCTCTAGCAGAAACATTTTTCATCAGGTTTCAGTGGCCGACTAGTAATTTGGGCATGGGTCATTACTACTGCACAAAACAGCTTTGGCTGCCTTCTTCTCTCCCTTGAACATATCTACAGACACCGCTGCCAAAACAGAACCACTAACATTCTCAGACACTCATCACATCCAGGTCATCATCAGCTTAGAAGAGTTGCCAAATAATAGGCAGCCAGTCTCAGGAACAGCTTTTTACCCCAGACCCATCATCACACATAACTCTGCCCAGTCATGTGAAATAGCCTCTCCTTATGCAGTAGAGATTTACTAATACAAGACAGCTGCAATGACGAAGAGTTAAAAGTTCCAATTAAGTGAACAACTTGGTTTTACTCAAAAATCCTGGAAAGGTCACCTGGATTAATGCTAAGGATTGTTGCACCAAGATTTGTAATATTAGAGCCTTTATATATAATAAATAGATTTCAGGTTTAAAAGGCAATAAGGAAGTGCCTTAAACTTGCATTCTCCTTAAAGACCACCACAGACTGACCCCTGTAGTTGCAAAAAGTCTCTTTTTAGTAAAACAGCTTTCAGCTATGACCTAAAAAAAGACTCCTGATGACTTTGAGGTCTCACTCCCTAGTTTCACATTATACTGAATATAATCAGTCACTCTGGAATTTGATCGCACTGAGAACCAAAGGACACCTTCACACGGTAGCCCCGCCTTCTTTGGTACCCGTTTTACTCTGTGGAGTATTAATTATTTAGAAAATTAAAATCATTATATACTGAAAAAAACTTTAAATTAGTGATTGGGACCACAAACCTTGGACATATCACTCAACGGTACAAGTCCATCAGCGTGGTGAAATGAAGAAAGAGTCAATATTTGAAGGGAAAGAAAGAAGCTGTCATTGAATGCACTGGGATGGTTCCTATGAATGCATATTTTAAACCTAAAAATATTTAGGGAAGTAGATAGATATCATACTGTGCTGCGCACCGATTTAGGTCATAAAACACATCACAGAAGTACAATACTCTTTGCACTGGATGGAGTGTTCAGAGTCAGTGTAAAAACAGATACACACCAGTGAGTACTGGCTAAAATTTCTACCATCCATCGATCCATCCTTGTCTCAACAAGAGAGCTGACATTAGACCGTGTTTCTGTTAAAGTTCAGGTCCTGGAGCATCTGACTGTTGTGAACGCTCTATGGTTCATCTTGGATGCCAACAAAGAAGCAGACATCCTGTGGGGAGGAGGGATCGATGGCTGGATGGCTCTGATGAGACGAGGAGAAGGCAGATTTGGGGATTTCCCAGTAGTTGCTGTGGAGCTCGACAGAGGAAAGAGCAGGTGGGATATCTTTCTGACTGGGCCCGCACTCCGAAGATAGCGGTGGAACACTCAGGCATTTCCTCAGGCAGGGCTCACTGTACAAAAAGCAATGGAAACAAGATTCATGTATAGAAGTGAGAGGTGATCTGGACTCCACAATGAGAATAGTGAAAACAGAAAAAAATGAAGACAGATATTTTTCCAGCTTTCAGATTATTAGAAAGAGGACATGTCTGAAAGCGTCTGACGCTAAACCTCTAACGTTTGTTTGAAAATGACTCTGTTTGCCATATTTTCTGTCACCTCATAGCGCTGGCTTGTTCCCCTTTCCAGGCCTGTCTGTAAACATCACCTGCCACCTCAAACAGCCAACGGACATCAGCGGGCACCTCTGGGATCCACTCTACAAACCTGGTCCAAAGCAAAGTGGTAATGGTCACGGATTTGACACCAGCTAATTTTAAGTTCAAAGCTCATTTGGTTAAAAGTGATATACCGTTATTGATGCGACCTCTGTCTTACCTCTGGGCCACTGAGTATGCTGACTGTACAGGAAGTGTGTATGGCATGAGCATGTAGGAGGCCACCCTTACTGGCAGCATCCCAGATACCCTGCCATACAGTCCGGATCTCTCTTGGCAGGCCTCACAGAACACTGACAGCCACATACAGAATAGGATGCAGTTCTTTAAACATTTTAAAGAAGAATGATGCAATCTGTGCTTATTCTGGGATGATACCTCACCTTTCTTGATTGAAGTAGGCAGACTAATGTGTTCATCCACCCCACAGTGCTGTTTACGAAGTAGTCGGAGCCTTCGGAGCACCCACTCCTTGGTTGTTTCAGTATTGTTGCAGCAGCTGATCGAGCTCTCTGGCAGGGAAGGTCCAGCAGTGGGACACTCCAGTGCAAGCAGGTCTGCAACCAAAAAACACCACATAGGTAACACAGTCCAAATGTCAAACTAGAGGCTGATATGAAAGTGTGTAAGTGAGAGAATGACCAAAGCAACCAAGG